ACTGGGGTGGTGCCGTTGTGGGGTGTGAGACCTTTTGCCGTCGTTTTGGTGCCACATCGCAGTCAGCAACGTGGCACCTGGTTTTCGTGTTGAGAAACGAGGGGAGAGGGGGTTGTGGGTGCTTACCTGGTTCGTGTGCCATGGTGACGTGGCACAGCGTTGTGGTGTTGGCAATGTTGTTGGATGTCGGGTGAGTGGCGTGGTGGTCGATGTGAGCCCCCTCACATTGCTTAGCCCATGGCGGGCACTCACAACGTGAGGGGGGCGGTTATGTGGAGCGACGACGGTGGTGGTGGGAGGAGAGAGGGTTGTGTTTGGATGAGCATGAAAGCCGTTGCCAAACAAACAATTGTTTGGCAATGGGCTTGCGCCAAACAAACCGGATTCTGGTTGCATTCCGTTTTTGCCAATCCAGGGACCATTCCGGTCACAATTCCAGAATGCCGAAATTCTGCCGGAATGATGAAAATAGCAGGCCTCCCTGCTAAATTTCACTCCTCTGGAATCCACCAGAATCTGCAGGAATGACTGGAATCCTGCAGGAATTAGGGGGGCACTGATAAGACCTCATTTTATAGAGTAACGGGAAGGGAAAGGTGAGCTCGCTAGTGTAGAAGGGCAGTGGAACAGTGGGACAGCAGGACAATGTGATGGTAAAATCCCAAAATAGATGTGATGGGCAGGAGGGGCCTGGAAATAGGCCCAGGAATGGGCCTATAATAGACCTGGGAAGAACACTGGCTATGTGTTGTACTTACCAAGGGAGAGGGATAAAGATGTGTATAAGTCCCTACGAGCTATTCAACCTTTAACTCAACTGAGAGGGAGAGCTAAATAAGCCCTCAGTCTATATAGAGGTGACATGTGGTAACTGTGGGTGATTCCTTCAAGATTACTGTACTATTTCGTTCAATTCAGCAGTAACACATCACACAGCCTTCAAATCACCGAAATGTAATGCTTGTAACAGGTAATTTTTTCCCATGCTGAAACCATTTTGGGGTAACAGTCTCACAATAGTAAAATTTTGCAGCCTGTGGCGCCATACTGCCAAATTGAATGAAATAGTACAGTAAGCACTCAGAAACTTGTGGTGCCCCCACCATTGAATTGTTTCAACTTCCTGACAAGTGCAGGCTTGCCAGATGGTGGAGGCAGAAGGGAGTGGGAGACATGGTTCTGGGAATGAGAGTCATGTGTAGAGGATCCTGTAAACCTGGAACAGGAGCATCCACATGAAATATACATGTTGTGGTTTCAAGTAGAGTTAATTTGTTAAGAAGTACCAACATACAAAATGACAAATAAATGTAAATACAATGCAACTGTCATGCAAGAAGTAAGTGATACTATGCTGCTACAATCCTATTATGCCAATGCAGGAGTTTTCAGCTGCAGCTCCCCAGCCTCCTCATCTTTTCCTTGTCCCAAATATGTCAATGCAAGATTATTCATGCTGGCCAAGGTATCTGGATGTTCTGGCCCCAGTACTCTTTTACGCAGATCCAGGACTTTCAGCTGCAGCTCCCTAGCCTCCTCATCTTTTCCTTGATCTGAATATGTCATTGCAAGATTATTCATACTAGTCAAGGTATATGGATGTTCTGGCCCCAGTACTCTTTTACGCAGATCCAGGACTTTCAGCTGCAGCTCCCTAGCCTCCTCATCTTTTCCTTGATCTGAATATGTTCATTGCAAGATTATTCATACTAGTCAAGGTATATGGATGTTCTGGCCCCAGTACTCTTTTATACAGATCCAGGACTTTCAGCTGCAGCTCCCCAGCCTCCTCATATTTTCCTTGATTTGAATATGTTGATGCAATATTATTCATGCTGGCCAAGGTATCTGGATGTTCTGGCCCCAGTACTCTTTTACACAGATCCAGGACTTTCAGCTGTAGCTCCCTAGCCTCCTCATCTTTTCCTTGATCCGAATATGTCGATGCAATATTATTCATACTACCCAAGGTATATGGATGTTCTGGCCCCAGTACTCTTTTATACAGATCCAGGACTTTCAGCTGCAGCTCCCCAGCCTCCTCATATTTTCCTTGATTTGAATATGTCATGCAAGATGATTCATGCTACCCAAGGTATCTGGATGTTCTGGCCCAAGTACTCTTTTACGCAGATCCAAGACTTTCAGCTGTAGCTCCCAGCCTCCTCATCTTTTCCTTGATTTGAATATGTCAATGCAAGATTATTCATGCTGCGCAAGGTATATGGATGTTCTGGCCCCAGTACTCTTTTATACAGATCCAGGACTTTCAGCTGCAGCTCCCAAGACTCCTCATATTTTCCTTGCCTTGAATATGTCGATGCAAGATTATTCATGCTACCCAAGGTGTCTGGATGTTCTGGCCCAAGTACTCTTTTATGCAGATCCAAGACTTTCAGCTGTAGCTCCCCAGACTCCTTATATTTTCCTTGATTTGAATATGTCATTGCAAGATTATTCATGCTGCGCAAGGTATATGGATGTTCTGGCCCCAGTACTCTTTTATACAGATCCAGGACTTTCAGCTGCAGCTCCCAAGACTCCTCATATTTTCCTTGCCTTGAATATGTCGATGCAAGATTATTCATGCTACCCAAGGTGTCTGGATGTTCTGGCCCAAGTACTCTTTTATGCAGATCCAAGACTTTCAGCTGTAGCTCCCCAGACTCCTCATATTTTCCTTGATTTGAATATGTCATTGCAAGATTATTTATGCTGGTCAAGGTATCTGGATGTTCTGGCCCCAGTACTCTTTTACACAGGTCCATGACTTTCAGCTGCAGGTCCCCAGCGTCCTCATATTTTCCTTGCCTTAAATATGTGGCTGCAAGCTTTGCCATACTGGCCAAGGTATTTGGATGTTCTGGCCCCTGCTTCTTTATCCCTATTTCTACAATTTTATATCGAAAATACTCTGCATCTTTCCACATTCCATTTTTATGGAACACATAACTAAACTTAGAATATTCCTTATCATTAAACACTCTTTCAAAGCCATTTTCTTCCTGTGACTGGTAAATGGCTTTGATGTGTGGCACAAGAAGCCTGTTGAATCCAATGTTCTCAGCTGTCATCTCCTTTGTAATACAGTTCACAAGGATCAATTTTGACACTTGCATCATGCACTTCTTTTGAGATGTTGACATTCTATCCCTACTCCATTGATGCATCAATGGATGAATGGCATAAATTCCTGGAGAGGTTGATTGCTGCTTGATCAAAGAGAATGACATAAGAACCCTAATTCCTTCATGAAAGAAGAATTGATTCCAAGACTGATCTTTTTCAAGCTGAAGCAATTCACTGATGCAGGTTTTAACTTTTTGTTCCAGTCTACCATACTGTCTTTTGGAGAACCCCGTAGAAGCTTTTTCAAAAATAGCCTCCATTATATTCTCATGATGTAGAAATGCAGCAGTTTCCAGAATAAGAAGAGCAGCCTGAGCAGCTGCTCTACCATCTCCATCAGATTTCTTTCTTGCCCTTGATTCAATCTCATTAAACGACAAATCCCATGTTTCATAGACTGTTCGATTGTACTGAGATGCACCCCTGAATGAAGGGTGGTTCATAAGCTTCTTCCTGTGTTGAGAGAGATGCTCAAGATAATTATCAATACTGCAGAGACCAGCTTCAATGGAAGCTCCTGCTTGATCAACAGCTAGAGGTAAGCAGCAGAGCTCATGTACAATTTGTTGAGCTGTGCTGTAGACATCCTCAGAATGCCCAGTTAGATGGCTGGCTTTCAGCAAAAGTGATATGGCTTCCTTTTCAGCCATCTGATTAACTTCAAGAGAATTTTCATAAGATGTAACCCTCCCAAGAGATCGATTTCTGCTAGTAACCAGAATATTGCCCTGAGAACCAGATGGGATAAATTTTTCTACTACTTCAGGTGCACCATCAGCATTGTCAAACACAAGCAGCCATTCACTCTGCAGAGATCCAATCCAGAGAAGAGCAGACTGAGAGGACATAGAAATACCAGCAGCTTTAGCATCAGGATGAGAACAAAGACCCTTTAAACCAAGAGCAATAGTATCTTCAGAAGATGCATCAATCCAGAAAACATGAGAGAATCTAGATGTACTTGTCAGAAAATCAAAAATATAGTATGTGAAAAGACTTACCTTTCAGCCATCTTTTCAACAAACTTCAAAC